TATTTCCTGACGATTACCTGCTTGTGACACATCAAGACCATACCTGCGTTGCTCCACGTCTATCCTGCCAAAATATGAGCCATTGTGTATACGTTCTACTTTCTCCTGTGTGGCTGAATAAAAATACGCTACCTAGGGATATTTCAGTTGATTGACGGGACTTTACACGCGGGATGGCTCTACATTTATTTCCTCTGCATCTGATCTGTCCCGGCATCAACATGTTTGCCGAAATTCCAACACCTCCGTTCCTGCAATGCCCTGGCGTGCCCGCGACTCCGTGGAAGACTTGGCGCAGCGTCTTGCTAGTGTACGTCGACGTGGCGCCGGACGCTACGCCAGACACGAAGAAGGCGCTGCTGCTCAACGTGCTTGCAGTTGAGGGATCGCGTGCATACTACAAGACTACTGACGAGCAGACACAGCTTGACGGCGTCCAAGCTTAAGGAGATGGCGTAACATGTTACGCGTTAGCTGCTCTGGACGCATACTTCGCGCCGCCTGAATAGGCTCCCTGCGTGTATGCCCGATTCCGGCGGAAAGTTCAAGAACCGGACGAGACCTGCCGTTTAATTCATGCAAGCGCTGCGTCGTTTGGCCAACCACTGCAATTTCGGCACCGCGGCTGATAAGATGATCCAGGACCAAATTCTACATTGCCTGCATGACCCCAATCTGCTTCAGACATTCATTGAGATGGGGGACGCTTTAACTGTCCGGACAGCGTAAGAACATGCCAGGGAAGACGAATGCGTCGACCATGCGTTGCAGGAGCTGGCTGCTCTGCAGGCCGGCTAGGTTACGTGACGCGAGCATAAACGCCATGGTGTTTATCCTCCTTGACCCATACTGCTGCAACGTTATGCTTCAAACCCTGCTTTGCCGTTGGTCCCTCTGAGTTCTGCGGAAATCTTGCCATTTCTGTACCTAACCATGCATCGACTGCACGTACTGTGATGGTCCCTGTCCAGGCTGAGAGCGTGCTCACTTGTGTTGCACCTGTACGCGTCGCAGCTGACCGTGCTCCTGGTGTGCCTGCTGCTGCCGTGTTGCCTGCAGTTGAGCTCCATCTGGCTCTACCTCCTACGACTGGGACTACTTCTGTTGCGAGGATGGCTGTTCCGGTAGGGTCTGCTGCTGCTAACCGTATACTTTACCTGCTTGCGTCTCAGCTGTCCATACTTCGGTTATGCCTGCTACTCCCGTTCTGTCTGCTGCTGCTTCCGCTCTGGCTGTGCTTCTTCCGACTGGTGATGATTTCCAGGAGACTGGTACTGTTCTATGTCCACCGGAGATGCATCCGCCAAGCGTGCCAGCCGTCCTTCTTGATTCAGTTACTGTTCTTCGTGCTGTAAAGGTGTTTCTGTCTGTCGTGTCGGCGCTGACTGTGCCCGTCCTTGCTGTCAGCGTGCGTTCTGCATCGGTGGTGCCGAGCCATGCCAACACCCTCTAAAAATTCTTCAGTACCTGTTCCCATCCTCCTTTCCTGCATGCTACATCATGGAGAGGGACCAGCCAACATAACAATTGGAAAAACGCCTTACTACACTGTATCGCCTGGCTCCACGTCTGTTATTGGTACAATTGCCCAGGCAAATTAGTGCGTGTGTGCCAAGCTGCTGTGCAATTAGTGTTCTTCGTGGCGTGTTTTCGTGCTCGATTCGGTGTTCTTCGTGTCTGCGTGAGCGTTCTTTTTTCGGCGTACACGTGTTTACGCCCTATGTGGTGTTTGGCGCAAATTACAAGGATCGCAACGACTGCAAGTTCATGCAACATCAGCCGGTGTTGTGTTCCTGGATACCGCGGAAACTATGACAAGGGTCAAAAGTGCGCCTGTATTCATTCCCAAGTGATGACGCGCAAAAACAAGCTGAACTTCGAGCTACCCCATGAAAGGATTTCACGCCAACAATAGATTCGGAGGCAAAGAATTCTAACATTGCTTTATCGGGTGTGTGAATCACCGTTCTTAGCTGCAACAGCTGTAATTATTGAATTCACCGTTCTTAGCTGCAACAGCTGTAATTATTAATTCGTACATAATGAGAATACTTCATCACAATGATGAAGAAACATGCCTTTTTTTGTGAGTATCATTTGGGTGCTTTTGTAAATGAGCAGTGCTGAGAAATATATCCTTTTCACAGTATAGTTAAAATAACTTTTATTTTGCTCTTACTGCCATAAACTACGCCTGATTTGGTCTTTGTGTTTTGTTTTCTGCATGTTGATGTGTGCAACCGAACTCCGATGCCAAGCGTGTTATGTGGCAAGTCATTGCGACAATAAAAATGCCATTCTCATGATGCTATGCATGAAAATAGAAACAAAATTAGTAAAAAAATTATTTTTGTCTTCATTGCTAATATTCGAACCCGCCTTCGAAGAGGGTTTTTATTTTTTGCTTGCTTTCTTTATTTTTTAATGAATAATCGTCGGAACAGTACTTGTCCAGTCCTTGCATAGCAAAGTTCATACTGCCACGTAAAAAAATCTGTTTTATTGGTATGCTACACGTATCACTGCGCATTTTTATGAACGGCTTCGTACTTATACCACAGTTAAATATTTATGAAGAAACAGCTATTCCCAGGTTATATCTAGCGTAGTGTGTTTCATGTGTGGTGAGTTTATATCAGCCGCCTTTTTTGCGCTCGCAGATTTGTGAGCTGCACTTCCAAGCAGAGAATTTTATAACGATGTTGTCACACCAAGCTGAATTAACAGGAAGATTAGTAGAAGTAGAACGAGAGAAACGCAAGATGAAGTACAATTTTGTATCTTCTATCTTTCTAAACTGTGCAGAATACTTGTCCTCAAAGTCAAAACGTCATGAATCGCCAGGGAGAAAGATCGGAAGAAAGGACAGCGTTGCTTTTCAAGAAGCTTTAAACAGGTCACTTGAGTCTAGAGATCGAACTTGAGCAAAAAAGAAACCAGGTGTCTTCATATACGGACTTCAAGACGAAGCTGTCAGGAATCTGCAGTAATAAATTTTGGACAGTAACTATCAGTGACAAGTGCGTGAGTTTTCTTGTCATTGAAAACAATCCTTCTCCTTATACGTTAAATGCTCACTGACTGTTCTCCCAGATCTTTCACTTTCTGTTGTTTTGAACGGAGCGCAACTCCGATCGATTCAGCGCTGAGCCAAGTGGTGTGATTGGGGCAGCGCTGTGATATAGTTCTGGTAACAAAGCTTGTTATGCAGAAACTGTCATCAATAGAACATGCCAAAGACTCCCTCATGCAGTGACCAACGCGGTATCGTCGGTTCACTGGCCTTTTCCTTGCTGGAACCACAGACCGACATTAATGCATGTGAGAATGACCTCCCCGCACAAACTGTCTTGTGCTTGGTAGTTCTCACAGCAACTAATATTGTCTTGAATCAACTTCTGCAGGCTGAAAAATGACAGCATCCAATACAATGCGCAGAAAGAAGCCGCCGCACGGAAATCAGCAATACTGAAGAAAAAGGGATGTTTTAACGGAATAAAGCTTATCTTGTGTCATATCGTTTTTCTTACGAGAGCGAAACTACATGCAGAATGCTTCACTCATGCCAGAGAAAGCTTCTCAAATACATGACACAGTATTTCGCACACATCACAGACTATTACAACACCAGTAGTAGCGAGGCGAGCGCGACGCCCACACGGACCCATACAGTGACGTCACGCAACCATCGGAAATGCCTTAGGAGTCTAGGGGCTGTTGGTCATGTTCCATCGGAGCGTCATTACCTGCTTGTACCGGCCCCTACTATGCCGAAAGTACCCAGGCTGAAGAGTTCATGGGTCTATTCTGTCTCTGCGCCGGACTGCTGTGGGCAGCGACAGTTCAAACGATTGTCGTGCGAAATGGCACCTACACAGATGTCGGTGCCATACACTTAAACATGAGCGTGATTATGCAGACATCCTCTCTCGAGGGAGGAGATGATGTGGTGATGCAATTGGCAATGTGCCTTGCTTTCATGCGCTTTACTTATTTCTTTCTTATTTTAGCGTACATTATTTTTGAATTATCGTGTGTTTGCTGTGCATCTCTTTACGCTAGTATCCTGTGCAATCCTTTACTTTTCTGTGTATACAGTAGATTTTTATGGTTATTTCGCCTTAGTTACGTGTTTGGAGCACGCATTTCAAGGGGGGATGATGTGGTCTCGGAATGTCTGTTACAGTTTCGGTTTCGAAACTGGTTCGCTGGCCCCTATGGGGCGTTGTATAATTGTATATATATAGAGATGCTCGTGTACATAGTAAAAAGAGTTTTCCGCCCGAGGCTCGTGTGTGCCACTTGCTTCTCCTCCCCGGCCCGCGGTTCAGACGCCGTGCCTTGTGGTCTCCGTGCGCCGCGTTCGACAAACGATGCACGTCCGACGTCGGTATTCAATCCCGAGACCTTTGGGTCAGTAGTCAAGCATCATAGCCTCTATACCACCACGGCGGGTGTTTGTTCAATGAGTAAGCTTGTGTTTACACTCATGTATAGGTGTTAAAACTGTGCATATCTTACTTCGTTGTATGAAAATCACTACCAATGCCTCAGCTTTCAAGGGAAACAAGGTAAACTTTTCATTATTTCATGCACTAGCTACGTTCAAATAGAAACCGCAATTCGTACGAACGGGCTCCATATTCGAAAGAAAAAAAAGTGAGGAGGAGTGTATAGAAAGTGCCATGGAAAAGATAGTGATAAAATTTAATATGTCCAGAATATGTTGCCTGTAGCAGAGTGCTTGAAGGTAAATCCCCACATTGCGGCTTTTCCTCCGTTCACCTTGCATTATGGTGTTCGGTATTCACGCCTGCTCTTTTTATTATGTTCTAGAATACCACTGTAACTTCTTTGCGCTCTTTTCTCTGGTTATAATTTACTAAAAGCAATTGTATGACCATCTTGACCAAGCGGGTACCCATTACAAAGTGGGCATCTGGGGTATCGTGCCCTTTTTGTAGAGGGTGCGGGCCACTTATGAGGAGCCAGAACACATCATGACTTCTAAACCAGCGTCGGCAGCAACGGACATCAAGACCGCGGTGGACCTCTCCAAGCAGGCTGCCGACGAAGAAGCCAAGCGACAGTTCGCAAATGCGTACCGGATCTACCGCAAGACTGTGGAAGCCTACCTCAATGCCACTTTTGCGGTGCGAACCATGTGCTCTCCATACATTGACAGGGTGCTGCGACTGAAGGATCACGCGCGAGACATTGACCAAGATGTGCTGTGCGCGGGCATACCCGAAATGAGTTGTCTACACCAGCTGTTTCTACTGGGCTTGCTTCTGCCCCCCTGGTGTCTCCCGGCAGTGACGGTGAGTGCCAGGAGAAGAATCTGCTATACGAACGACATCGTAGGCATCGACTCAGTGAAGAACAAGTTCGCCCAGATTCTCATGAATCCAAAGGCAAGAGGAGCATCCGTCATACTACTCTACGGACCCCACGGCAGTGGCAAAAGCTTTATAGTCAGGGCAATTGCGTCCAAGTACCCGGACAAGTCGCTCTTCATCGTCAACATTGAAGCGTTGATGGCTGCCACAATTCAGCACGAGGGTATGAAGCTAGCAAGCTCGATTATTAAGAATTTTAGGAAGCACGATTGTGCCATTTTGGTGCTGGAGGACCTTGATCGCCTCTATTCACACAGGGTAGAAGGAATAGGACGAGAGATTGATGCCATGAGAAAAGAAATAATATCCTACATGCAGGAAGTGAAGGAAAAGAGAGAATTTCGTGAGGTAATAGTCGCCACTGCAAGAAAACCATGGCGTTTGGAAAAAAGTATGCTGGAGACCTTTCAGGCAAAGATCTGGCTCCCTCCGCCGTCATTTGATGAGCGTGTGGCCATCATCACGCGCGAGTTGGGAAAAGTAAGGTGTCCTTCATTCACGGAGAGTGATATTCACGATCTCGCGTCGCGAACTGAACGCTACTCGTGCTGCCAAGTTATGAGCACTCTGCGATTGGCTTTGGCTCGCAATTTCGACAAACTGGAGTACATAAGGCTTAAGGAAGATGCTGAAAGAGTCGACCACGTAACGAAGGACGACATTCTGGTTGTTTCAGACATTCTCCGTCCAGACATGAGCGAAGATGACTTGGCTAAGTATCGCGAATTCACGTCAGTCACCAGTTTGCAAGCGGGTGTCCCTTCAAGCACCGTGCTCCCATCAGCTGTCAGAGCTGCTGATAGCGGCCGCGGAAGCGCCGTTATTGACAGCCGTGGTAGTGCTGCCTAAAGCAGTGTGGTTTCCAAAGCTACTACAGGCACTCGCGTTGAAAATGGCGCTAGGAGCTCGGTACCGGGCCACACCGACGCGGCTCCGGAATTTTCTGGATCTCGAGGGAAGGATCATATGTCTCCACACGAGATCAACGAGCGGTATCGCAGGCGTTAGACTACCTTCTGTGTTTACGCCCATTCACCTAATCTCGGCGGATAACCGACCGCAAATAAATTACACGAAGAATAAAGCGCCTAATTAAGACACAGCTGCCAGTTTTTCGTTTCCGTTCATCATTTGATTGATTGATTGATTGATTGATTGATTGATTGATTGATTGATTGATTGATTGATTGATTGATTGATTGATTGATTGATTGATTGATTGTCACGGTGTAGTAGATTCACCGCATCAGATTCACCGCATCATTCACCGCACACACACACACACTGACCTTTTATAAGGACTCAACCAACCAGAGTTATACACGATATTCAACAAAATACTCGCCGTATGTACGCTAGTTAGATACCGATAAGCATATACTCAGATCACAGTTCGTATAAGGAAGGCACAGGCAGGGTGCACACATCATCATTGGTGCCAGCCGGGGAAACCAGGAGCGTCCCAAACGCGACGCTTCGAAGTCGGGGCTCGAAATTCCTCTGGTAGTCAGGTAGCCGGGCGGTGTGTCATGAACGGTTGTCATCGGTGTACCGTAAGACGAGTGATGTCCACGTACACTGGCCGAAAACTTCGTCAACCCTTCAGAGCCACAGGCTCAATGGCATCAGGCATCGGCAGGAACTAGGGTTTTTTCTCCGCATGGCTGCTTCTGCCGCTGATCTCTGCTTCTCCTCCACCCGCTGCTCCTCGACTCCTCCTCTTCCTTCTCTCTTTTTTTCAAGATTCCCGTGCCATGAGGGTTCCTCGCGTCTCTCTTCGTTTACTTTCATTTTCGTTGTCAGCTGCGTTCGCTCAATGTCGTTGTCATCCTTACTTCACCGGCGTCCTTACAAGCAACACATGACACTGATATGTGGGGTTTAACGTCCCAAAACCACCATGTGATTATGAGAGATGCCGTAGTGGGGGAGCTCTGGAAATGTCGACACCTGGGGTTCTTCGACGTGCAACCAAATATGAGCACACAGGCCTACGGCCTACAGCACAGCATTGTCGCCTCCATCGAAAATGCAGTATATATATATATATATATATATATATATATATATATATATATATATATATATATATATATATATATATATATATATATATATATATATATATATATATATATATATATATATATATATATATATATATATATATATATATATATATATATATATATATATATATATATATATAGTGAATGTTCGAAGTAGTTACTGAGGCGTTATATTTTGGGACAAAACATTTTCTTGCCTAGAGGGTGCTTCAAATATCGGGCATGGTAGCGAAACTGTGTCGCGCTAAATAATTCATATAAATTTACTGGCTTCGACCATTACTACAAAACATTTTTTTTAAATATCAAGGCACCAACCTAACGTTACTGTGACAGTTTTCATGTTTATTTTAACTTTCATTACTTTTGACCCTGACTGAAATTCATCTTTAGCGTCCTTTAGAGCAAGCAAACATTTTTTTGCGAGTAATATATTAACTTTGTGGGCTTTGTAGCTTCCTGTAAAAGTGTTAAAAATACTGCGGTATTTAAAGAAGCAGAAAAGTTATCAGAATATTGCAACAAAGTTGGGAAAATTGACTTTCTTTCATAGTGCGGATTCATTTTCGCAGTGCAGAGTTGGCAGTAAAACTATGATTTAGGCATCATTATGCAGTACGCTTTGTTGGTGTAATATAAATTTTTTTTTTTTTCAAAGGAGTAGCTTTCGTTTTAAGCAAGGAAAAAGATAAACCTTTCAACTGAAAAACCACAATGTCGTACGACGTTTTTCTTTGCCTCACATTCACTGCATAGCCCGTCAGTGCAAAATTCCAGCGGGGACATTCTCACAACAAATAATGCAAGTGACACAACTGATTGCCGCCTATTCTAGTACTGCGTCTGTATAGAACGTCAAAAATGTGAACAGTGGCGATGTTATTGAACAGTACTTCTCCTCTAAAAAAAAGAAAAAAAAGTTAAAAAAAGCAGTGTGTGCAAACATAAACACAAGAAGAAATTCAAGACACCAGAAACATCTACTAACAATTGAAGATGTGCAATGCACGGTTTAAGTTTGTCGTGTATTATCACTCGAGTAGGTTCTGAGGAAGAACGCTCGCACTGCAATTTAGACTGCGTTGGTAGCCGCGTAAGAGCATCGAACGCGTAATTCGAAGGTCGTAGGTTCGATTCCTGCTTACAGTTGGTAAGTAGTATCAAGGGATATAATATGCATCTCAAATGTCCTGATCATATCCGGCTTTTGGTTAATTATTTTGGGAAGAAACTCAGACCAGTAACTTCAGATAAGGAAGGGTATTTCGTAATTTTGCCGGACAGTATGTTCTAAAAAAGCATTACAGCCGGTAACAGCCATTAAGCATTAACGACCGTAAAAAAAGAATTTTAGAACGGTAAAGCTTAAACAATCGGTAGCTCGGCAACGTGCTGTCGACATTCTGTTACGATATAACCTTGAGAGAATAGCTTTTAAAGTTCATAAGGCTATATCACTTACTTTAGAACAGTTTTTTTTTCAGTGAGAACACATAAGAACGAGATTTCTTTGCGAGCAATTGTTTCAGAAAAAGGCCAGCGGCAAGTCGCTGTATCTAGTTACTTGCAGAACTACTTAACCTTTTTGAATATTCGTATTTTCCGCAAACAAATAAGTGAATTGAATCAACTTAGGGCTCTTGTTAGTAACACTTTATCTTTAAAGTATACAGGCCCATTGAATCCCCCGCAGTGGCAGTCCGCAAAATTGCATTTGGACTTAATCCCATGCCACGCCGGTACAGTTTGTGAAAGTGACCCCCTGTGTATTTCGTAAAGATGTCCTCCAGTGCCACTAGTGAGCGTCTCAAGTAATTGCGGCACAAGCTATAGCGTGCGCCTGATCTAGACGATAGCGCAAACAAGTTGCTAAAGTGACCACTCTCTTCAATTTGAAGCTTTGAGTGACATTGGTGCTACATAGCCATTGCTGCTTTTCCGCCATAAAACCCACCACAACAAGCTCTGAGTGACAATGCCCTTAAATATTGCCATTTTTGTATTTCTTCATGCGTTGAACATACTTAAGGATTCATTATACAGTCCCTCAGTGGAGGATTCAAACGTGACGCATTCTTTCGGGGTGCTTCCCCTTCGCTTACTGGCTGTTTGCCCCCCTCACTCTCGTGACGTTGCGTTTCGTTCTGTCATTGAACGTGCGCAAGATCCCGTAGCTGGTGTGATTCAACGCTTCTTACGCACCATACTAAATCTGTTAACGCGACTCTTCAGTGGCCGACATGACGCCTATGTAGCTCCTCCACAGCAATTTGAAGCACTGGCGTGCTGTAGCGTACCCAACGTTTTTATTCAGGTGGGAGTTCAACTATATACGTTGTGTGTTTGTGCTCGTGTGCATCGTGTGCCACTCAAATTGAATAATTTTGAGAGGTGAGGGGGGAGGGCGAAACTCTCCCAATACCCCCCTTTGGCTAAGCTCTCGGGACTGCCTTAGAGGGCTTGACAGGCCCCGCAGAATGTTTGTATTCGAATCCAGCTCAAACCCGATATTTACTCTTTGCATTCGCCCCGCCACGGTGGTCTAGTGGCTAAGGCACTCGGCTGCTGACCCGCCGGTCGCGGGATCGAATCCCGGCTGCGGCGGCTGCATTTCCGATGGAGGCGGAAATGTTGTAGGCCCATGTGCTCAGATTTGGGTGCACGTAAAGAACCTTAGGTGGTCGAAACTTCCGGAGCCCTCCAATACGGCGTTTCTCATAATGATATCGTGGTTTTGGGATGTTAAACCCCACATATCAATAAATCAATCAACCCTCGAAATCATCTTTGTCATATGCAAGGTCGTCTATCCTTTTATCGGAATACGTGCGTGCTATCGGTCGTCCGACTCGAAGGTGTCATTCGTCGAACGTTTTCATGACGCCCCTCATCACGTACCGTGTCTACAGTCATGCTAGCATCTTGCTCTTTGGTGATTTTAACTACGCTAATTAACTATACTAATTTTGGTTCACGCCAAGTTTAGAGGGTGATCAAGAGAGTACCCAGACGTAAGTGGCTAGATAGATACGCAGATAGACGCCAAAAGTGTTTGCAGTACGCAAAGAAATGCTTCACATTTAAAAATATCCGGAATTGAAAAGGATTTTAACCCGGACCCCCTGCATGACAGTCGAGCATTCTGCCACTGTGCAAAAGACCCTATACCCTGACGTCTTGCCGGGCAAGGACTCGCGTTAACATATGATATATAATACAGCATGGTAGAAGAGTACAATAACGTCCAGGCGTCACACAATACAAAATACGCAACGAGTGTGTAGTTTAAAGCTTCCCACCCACTAAAAAGTGCTGAAGCAGCGTTCTTCATCATCATCAGCCATAGCATCAATAAAATGGGCATAATGCCTTACGGGTGCGTAGCAGGTTCCTCACTTCCTCGCAGAATAAAGAATGTCATGGTGGGTGCTTCACTTTACGATAATTATGCTGATTCACGGCATGGTCGATACCTTGCAGGTGTACTTATATCAATCAGTTGTCCCAAGAGAATATACAATGGGCACTGAGAGGCCGCTCTTCCCACTTTTGCGGTGACTGTGCTGCATTCCCCACCGTGCAGGTATGGCATTTTAAATGCGAAGCATTTCTTAGTGAACCTCGGTGAATTGGGGCGTATCTATCTATCTATCTATCTATCTATCTATCTATCTATCTATCTATCTATCTATCTATCTATCTATCCATCTATCTAACCGCCGACGACTTTTAGCTCTCCTAGCCATTTTGATAATGTTATCAATACCAAACTTGGTACGG